GAGAGAGAGAGAGAGAGAGAGAGAGAAGAAAAGTAAAACCTGTCAAAACATTACATGCGTTGGCAAAGCGTTTGCCACACTTTCTCTAACTTTTAAACACTTATCAATAATTAAATAAACCTTTTTTCTGTCAATAGTTTAGTTATAAGATATAATAATAATTGTTAACTCATTTTTACGCTCCAATTAATTTTTTCTCATATTTATGCTATTTTCTCTTTATGGATGCCTTTCTCTCCACAAATCTTTACAAATTAATATTTGTAAATATTAACCGAACACAATATTTCTCATTTAATGTCACAATTTTTTGCTTTTAATATTTTCATAAAAGTTAATTTAAATGCAATTTTAAGGCAACAATATTTTTAAGTGAGAATATTTTGGACTTTGTTTTAGGACTCAAATGTTTTTTTCACAACTCATTTGTTATGTATTTTAAACGCTTTTAAATTTAATAATAACACTTTGCACTCATTTATTACATAGCCGTTAGATATTTCAAATAACTCACTGAAAATGTTATGGCATTTATTATATAATTTTTAATTACAAAATAATTAATTTGAATAAAAATAATATAAAGTGGTTTTGGTTGAGGCGAGCGTTTGGGTCGACTGTTATTAGGATGAAATGATTTAATTAAAATATCGTTTAATATTAGAGCTCAAAAAGTTTTTTATTTGTTTTTATTTACATAAAATATAACATAAAAATTAATTAATTAGTGAATTATGCATTAAATGAACAGAATTTATAGTAATATACCATTTGTATAATGAACTGACTTTAAGGTAAAATTTTTGTTTTAAAATAAATTTCTCATTTAAGTAAAAATTAGCAAATTTTCACTATAAAAAAGATATAGATTGCAAATTTTAAAATATAAACTCATTGATTATATCATCGATTAATTAAAATATTTAAAATCTATATCATGTGAATAGTATAATAACCTCACTATAAAATCAATATAAATGCATTGACCCTCTATTGGGAATCTGATTGAAGCTATTTTTGATATTAATTAAAACAATTTTAAAATATTGTTTTGATTGAAGGAATTCCTAATCTGAATGAGACATCACAAGAAGCGGTGCTCGTGTTCGCCGGCGAAGAGGCTTTTGTTGATTGCAAAGTAGAGAATCTCCAGAATTACACAATTTTATTTAAATTCATGGTCGCCGGCACTGAACCCCAGAAGTCGGAAATAATTTCCGCCGGAAATCTTATCATTACAAGTGATCCGCGCTTTTCAATGCTTCATCACTCGGGTATTTATTGGGTTTTTGACAATTTTGAAAATTGATTTAAAACTTGTATCCAATATTCAGAACACGACGTTTGGGTCCTAAACATAAAGAATACTAAAACCACTGATTCTGGTATTTATGTTTGCGAAACCAATTCCACTCCTAAGCAACAAATCGCCCGACTTTTAAGTGTAATCGACACCGACTCCAGTGATAGCAATGATAAAACCGATGCCATTCTGTCGGATGTGAACCACAATTACACAGAATGTTGTATCGAAGAGGAAGTGCCAGAAATCAAATCGCCCGACTTTTAAGTGTAATCGACACCGACTCCAGTGATAGCAATGATAAAACCGATGCCATTCTGTCGGATGTGAACCACAATTACACAGAATGTTGTATCGAAGAGGAAGTGCCAGAAATGTGTCACTCGTTTTGTCTGATGAGCGGAATCGTTAACAACGATATCCCGCACCAGACCGTGCGCTCATGTCTGCAACATTTGCCGAGTATTACTAAGTGTTTGAATGGCGGCAGAAATAATCTAATGTGTTGTAAGCGTCAGAATATTCCCAAACCATGCGAAGGGGTTTGTGTCGGAAATTTCACGTTAAGCACAGTTAGTGATCACTACACGTGTATGGACTACGCGGCCCCAGTCCTCGCCTGTATCGCAGAGGGCATCGAAACACTTCCACCGCAACCGCAGGACGTGTTCGTTGAGTCCGTTTCGACGACAGAGCTTAAGGTCAAGTGGTTTAAGACCGAGAATTCAAAGGACGCCAAAACCGACTCCTATCTGATAAATGTCACACAATTGCATACATTTGACGATTTGGTCGATAACAAGAAACTCAATAATCGACAGAGCTTAAGGTCAAGTGGTTTAAGACCGAGAATTCAAAGGACGCCAAAACCGACTCCTATCTGATAAATGTCACACAATTGCATACATTTGACGATTTGGTCGATAACAAGAAACTCAATAATTTGAACATTAAGGACAACTCTCGACCCATTAATAACACACAAATGTCTTATAAAGTGAACGCATCGTTAAGTGAATACACTATTAAAGACTTGAAACAGTTTACGATGTATGAGATCCAGATGTCGGCCGTAAATAAGTTTGGAGACAGTTTGCCAACTGATCCAATCCGTGCGCTAACATTAGCCCCAGAATCGGATACACAAAAAATACCCAAATCAACCAAAACTGATCCCAAACTCCCGAATATTAGAAAGTGTTGTGAAAACAATGGCGTGGTTTTGGACCGATGTCTTAACACACTATGCGATCCGACACAAGCGGATACGGCCAGTCTGTCTGATCTAATGATCTGTGCGCCATGGTTTGTGACCATCATTCAAATATAACTCAATTCTGTGCTCATATAAAGTATATACAAATCACTTTTAGGGCAAACGTTACGTTCAAATGCATGTCAATGGAGACGACAGAAGAGGGATTCACTGATCACTCCAATTGCTGCGAACAAAGAGGTGTTTCACCCGTTTGTCTCTCTCTATGCAAAGTGACATGCATTACATAATTGCTTAAAACTTCTTTACATTTGTGTAACAAAAACAAAACTATTCACAAGACTTTCAAATTCTTATAATTAATATTTGAATTCTCCAAAAATCACAGTCAGTTCACCACTAATTGTCTATTTGTGTTAATACTGGTCCACCGATGGGTAACTCATGTCTGATTGGTGTCCACTCTGTCAACGTTGGTCTGAGCGATAGTATCGGCACTTCTGGTGTCATTAATCTGTATAGTATTTGAATCCTTCAAATACGTCGGGTTTTCAAACGATACGCCTCTCGAGGTATTAGTTTTGGTTATGAAATGGTATTTATAATAATAAATAAGAGCTGTTAATCCGATTACGATTAACACAACGCCTACTGTTATGCCTAACAATACGTCGGGTTTTCAAACGATACGCCTCTCGAGGTATTAGTTTTGGTTATGAAATGGTATTTATAATAATAAATAAGAGCTGTTAATCCGATTACGATTAACACAACGCCTACTGTTATGCCTAACAATACTTTCAACAATTTATTGCCTAATGATGTGGAGTGCACTGAAGAGCCTCTCAGAGACACTACAAGCGGATCCGTGAAGACACTGAGACCGTAATGATTGCCAGATTTGACCACAAATTCGTACATCTTATCCGACTCTAGATTCTGGAGTTCAAACCAGGGATTCTCCGTTTGGTTCCTCATTAGATCCCGTGAGCCGATCGGTCTGTGGACCAAAATATGCGTATAGAATCACACGATGTATCTTAAAGTCAACGTTTAAATTAAACTATACCTCCAGAAGACACGATACCATTGAACTAATTCCGAGTTCTTCTCGGGAGCCGTCCACCCGATTCTAACTGTATTGTCATCAATGAATTGCTCGACGCGGACATTGATGGGAGGGCCGGGCAGTAGAGCTCTGCCCTCTTGGAAACACGATATGATTTCCCGAGAAGACGACAGAATACACAGCGAAGGTATACTGACTCTCAGACCCGCACACCAGCGAAGACATCCATTGGGCACTTGGCGTCTGCGGCAACACTGTCTGTGATCGCTTCCATCTATGGGTGCAATCAAATCATATGATTAGATAACAGTTAATATTATTAAGAAACACATGACATACCGGCCGCACAACTCATCAATTTATCCAATTCAGTGAAACATTCAGGTCTTGAAAGCGCTGTTTCAATGTCTATATCCACTGAACAAACACTGAGACATTCCTCACTGACTCCCTGTTCAACACAACAACCTATTGATAATACAAGTAATTGTTTAACAAAATGATGTCTATAGTAGAGTGTATATGATTTACTGGTCGTATTCTTAGGCTGAACTGATTCGGGTGTCACTGCAAGGGTTAGTGTTGTCACAGCTTTTCCAAAGTCATTCTCTGTTGTGCACCTGTTTTACAGAATATTCTTGTCATTAAAAGTGCATTAAAAGCAAAAGAAACTCATAATTACATGTAATTTCCATCATCTGATTTCACCGTTGATTTGATTAGAAGTGTGAAAACGTAAGTCATTTGTAACTAATTGTTGGGCAAAATAATTATTAAAGTAAAAATAATGTTAAATATAAATGTTAGGCATACCTCTGAGTGGGCAACTGTTATAAAATTAGTATTACTGTTGGCGTGTAATTGAACGATATCTGTATTATTCTGCTTATACCAGAACACTCGGGGCTGAGGCTATCGATCAAATAAATACAATTTGTAACAATACTTATCAATTAAAACAGATTTATTACAAACGAGACATACATTTCCCGAAACTGTGCAGAAGAGTCGAGCGGTGCCTCCGATCGGTGCTGTACTTAGGATTGGATTGCCGACAGCCGTTGGCTTAACTATAAAATTATGAAATAATCATTAATTTAATTATACTGTCCATTGAATGTGTAATGACATACATCTGACATAAACATCGAGAGAAGATTGTGCGGAATGGGTTTCCTTTCCTTCGCCATTCACGGCATAGCAGGAAATGGAGGACAAGTTTCGCGTGACATGAGTTAGAGTAAAGGCTAAGTGACGAGAATCCAGTTTTGCGACCAGTATTCCGTTGATGAACAGGGATGTGGTCGGGACGGGAGTGCCCATCGCTATACACATCACTGTAATGTTAGTTCCCTCCACAATAGGACCGGCGGGTATTATTAAAGGCATTTGTAAAGCGGTGGGTATCGCCGGGTCGGTCCACACCAACACTATCTCCGATGAGGTACTCGTTTCGTTGCGATCGGACACAGTTTAGTTCCCTCCACAATAGGACCGGCGGGTATTATTAAAGGCATTTGTAAAGCGGTGGGTATCGCCGGGTCGGTCCACACCAACACTATCTCCGATGAGGTACTCGTTTCGTTGCGATCGGACACAGACTGTACGGCCAGAGCGTACTCTGTGTTATACGTTAGGTTTGTTAGATATACTGTGGTATAGGCTGTGTAGACACTAAACCTCAAGAGAAACCAACCTAAGCACGGTTGTCGGCAAGGCAATTACCGGAATATTATCTGCTATATTAACTACCGTCTTAGCTACCCGTGTATGTCACCACCGTTGGTAAACTTACAATAACACAGGTGAGTTTGGTGTATGAGTTCCAGTGAATGCGGTGGACCCAATTTGGCGGTAATCTTTGTCTTCTGGTCCGAGTCTTTCTCATCCAAAGTCTTAATCAATAGGACCAGCGATGGAAGCGATACTCCATAGAGATTATGTGCCGTCACGTAAACACTGTAGTGAGAGTTGGCTTCGAGTCCATCGATAATAGCCTTAGTTTGAGTCGAGTTCTTGCTGTTCGTGTGGTCTAACGGATGCAATGGTATTGAATTGTCTGTCTTTCCGTACCGGACTTGATATGTGATGTGTAGGGCGTCGACGTCCTCTAAGGATGGCTTCCACTGCAAGTGAACGCTGTTTTTGGTGACAACAGTGGCGTGCAATCCGACGGCCATTCCGGGCAAAAGACCGGTTCCCTCTTCCATGCACTGCAGAATTTTGCCGAAGTGTTGCGAACAACGTGTGGCCACAACTAGCGAAGAGGTGTCCACAATACCGGCGCAAACGCTGAGACACTCGGCGCTAACGTCCCGACGCCGACAACAGGGCACGTGATTTCTGCCGCCGGTTCCGCATCTGACTAGTGTTGGCAATGATGTGACACAAGTGGACGACAGGTTGAATACGTCCGACACTTTGACTTTGTATGAACACAGAGGCAGACACTTCCTGGAAAGGGCTGCTCTCACACAACAGGCCGTCTCGTTGTATCCAAACTGAGTCTCTTCTAACTCTCTTTCGTCGGGCGTTGAGAGTCTT